GGGCTGGGGATTTGAACCCGCCACCTTGGGTGTACGTGGCTGGCGCCTTAGCCGCTTGAGCCACAGGCGCCGAGCCAATTGTTGTGTCTTTATAGTGTGTCTTTAATTCAGGTAGAATTGGCTGTCCAATTTTGTTTTTTTGTTTGAAGGATATTTTTGCAAATTTAGATTCTTTTTGTTTCCTTATGAGTTTTGGACTTTGACAAAAAAAGCTTGCTGGGATTTTGATTGGGATAACATTGAATTAATAGATCATTTTGGGGAGAATCGATATCTTAACAGTATTGAGTGTTTTGATATGAACAAGGTATATTTCTTCATTTATTAGTGGAGAGATGTTTGGTTCTTTAAATTCTCTCAGCAATGTTTATAATTTTCAGTGCACATGTATTGCTCACCACATGTCATATTTGTTCAGAAATATTTCGTATTTTTAGTGTTATAAGTGAGGTTTTTTTGAAAAGTTATTTTCTGGTTGTGTTTGTTGATGGTATAGATAAATCAATTTTTATGTATTCTTGTATCTTTTTTTTTTTTGTATTCTTGTATCTTACAATCATGATAAACTCATTGATTAGTTCTTTGAGGAATCTCCATACTGTTTTCTATAGAGGTTGTACTAATTTGCAGTCCCACCAACGTTTTCTAAGTGTTCCTTTCTGTCTGCATCCATGCCAACATCCATTACTTTTGGGTGTTTTTTTTTGGCTGGGACCAGATTTTAACTGGTATATGGGCCTGGTGCCCTATTCCTTTGAGCCACAGGCACCACCCATTTGGGGGCTTTTTATTAAAGGCCATTCTGACAGGGGGTAAGGTGATAACTCATCGTGGTTTTAACTTGCATTTCCCTGATTAGTGATGTTGAACATTTGTCTATCATTGACAAACTTCTGATCATGTTTTTTGCCCACTTATTAAGGGGGTGGTTTTATTTTTTTTCCCCCTGAAGATTTACTTGAGTTTTTAGTCCTTTATCAAATGTATAGCTTCTGAATATTTTCTCCCATTCTGTAGGTTGTCTGTTTGATCTGTTAATGATTCCCTTGACTGTGCCTAAGCTTTTTAATTTAATCAAGATTCATGTATTTTTATTGTTGCTGTGGTTGTTGTTGGGATCTTTTTCGTATTCTCTTTGCCTAGGCTGATATCTAGAAGGGTTTTCCCAACATTTTCTTTGAGAATTCTTATGGTTTCATGCCTTACATTTAAGTCCTTTATGCATCTTGAGTTAATTTTTCTTTTTTTTTTTTTGAGACAGAGTCTCATTATGTCACCCTCAGTAGAGTGCCAAGGCATCACAGCTCACAACCTCAGATTCTTGGGCTTAAGTGATTTTCTTGCCTCAGACTCCCAAGTAGCTGGGACTATAGGCACCTGTCACAAAGCCTCACTATTTTTGTTGTTGATGTTGCTGTTGTTGTAGTCGTCACTGCTATTTAGCAGGCCTTGCCCGGGTTCCAACCCACCAGCCTCTGTGTATCGCGGGTGCCCTAATCACTGAGGTATAGGCGCCAAGCTAGAGTTAAATTTTTTTTTAAGTGTGAGAGATACAGATCTTGGCTATCCAGTTTTCGCAGCCCTGTTTATTGAATAGAGATTTTTTTCCCAGTCTGTATTATCTGCTTTGTCAAAGACCAAATGGCTGTGTGTGGATGGTTTTGTATCCTTTTTGTTGTTGTTGTTCTGTTCCATTGGTCTATGTCTCTAATTCTGCGCCAGGTTCATGCTGATTTAGTTGCTATAGCTGTTTTTCTTTTTTTCTTTGATAGCCTTGTAGTATAGTTTGGAGTTGATGCCTTTCGATTTATTGCTTTTGCATAAGATTGCCTTGACTATTTAGGCTCTTTTCTGGTTCAACATGAAGCATAGAATATTTTTTCTAGATCTGTGAAATATGGTATTGGTGACTCAGCGCCTGTGGCTCAGGTGGCTAAAGCGCCAGCCATGTACACCCAAGGTGACGGGTTCGAATCCAGCCCGGTCCGCCAAACAACAATGATGGCTGCAACCAAAAAATAGCCAGGTGTTGTGGCAGGCACCTGTAGTCCTAGCTACTTGGGAGGCAGAGGCAGGAGACTCGCTTGAGCCCAGGAGTTGGAGGTTGCTGTGAGCTGTGATCCACGGCATTCTACCCAGGGGGACAGCTTGAGACTCCTGTCTCCAAAAAAAAAAAGTATGGTATTGGTATTTTGATTGGGATTGCATTGAATCTATAAATCACTTCAGGTAGTGTTGATTCTACTGCTCCATGAGCATGATATGTTTATCCACTTGTTTGTATCATCTGTGATTTCTTTCCTCATTGTTTCTTAGTTCTCTTTGTAGAGATCTTTCACCTCCTTGGTTAAATATATTCCTAGATGTTTTATTTTTTGGTAGCACTTGTTTCATGGTATTGTAGCTTCGATTTGACTCTCAGCTTGACTGTTATTGGTGTGTAAGAATGCTACTTAATAGTGTACATTAATTTTGCAACCTGAGTCTTGGCTGAATTTATCAGTTCCAGGAGTCTCTGGGTGGAGTCTTTTGGGTGTTGTAGGTGTAAGATCATATTGTCTGTGAAAAGCGATAGTGAGATCTCTTCTTTCCCCATTCGGATACCCTTAATTCTTGTCTGATTGTTCTGGCTAGGACTTAACAGGTCTGTGTTGTTGAATAGAAAGAAGTGCTGGCAGTGGGCATCTGTGCCTTGTTTTAGGTCTTAGTGGGAATGCTTTCAACTTTTCTCCAGTATCATGCTGGTCGTGAATTTGTCATATATGGCTTTTAGAATCTCGAGATGTGTTCCTACTGTGCCTAGTTGGTTGGTAGTTTTTTTATCATGAACAGGTACTGAATTTTATTGAATAATTTTTCTACTTATGTTAAGATGATGATCTTTGTTTTGCTTCTGTTTATGTGACCAATCTGTTTATGATTAACATATGTTGTAGTGGATTTTTTTTTTGATAGGCTATTGAATTCAGTTTGTATTTTTTTTTGAGAATTTTTTCATTTATATTCATAAGGGGTGTTGATCTGAAGTTTTCTTTTTTTATTGTGTCCTGTTTTTGTTGGGGAGTAGGCCATCCTTCTCAAGGTATGAAATAATTTCTGCAAAATTGTAGAATGTGTATTAGCTCTTCTTTGTAGGACTGATCAAATTTGGCTGTGAATCCATTTGGTCCAGGGCTTTTCTTTGTTGGAATATTTTTTATTGCTGCTTTAATCTAATAATTGCTTATTATTGTTGTATGTTCACGTGTTCTTTTTCTTCCTGATGGAGTCTTAGAGGATTGTAAGTTTCCAGATATTTTTGTAGACTTGACTGGGGAAGGATCTGCTTCCTACTTCACTTCTGTGTTATCATCTTTATTTTTTAGTGAAATGTGTCTTTTTTGTGTGGTTATTTAAAAATTTTTCCGTTTTGCTGGTTTAAGCCATTTAATTCTGTTGACATTGAGGGAGTTTTTTCCTTTTCTTTGTTTTTTTGTGCTTGAGGCCCCTTAAGCTTCTTGGGATAATTTTTAAGTTTACAGTTTTTTATTAGGTTTAGAAAATTTGGGTCATTATTTCTTCATTATTATTTTTTTCCTATTTCCATCTTTCTGTGTTCTAGGTACCCAAATACTGCTTGAAGTTGTCTGGCAGCTCACTTATGTTCTTTTCTTTTTTTGGATTTTTTTTCCCTATGTATATTCTTTGAATTTTTAAAAATTTATTTTGGATAGTTTCTTTTGTCATGTATTCAATTTTAGTATTTTTTTCTATAATGTCATATTTTTGATCTCCAACATTTTAGTTTTCATCTCTAGAAATTTGTTTTGCTTTTGAAAAAAAGTCTTATTTCCTTTTCTCCACTTATTGAATGTATGTTTTTGAAATATAGTTATTATACTTACTTTAATGTCTTTGCAATATTTAATACCATTGATTGATATTTCTTCTTCTTCTGGCTCATGATTTCCTGCTACCTTACATGGTTTGTGATCTTTGATCACATACTAGACGTTGTGTATTTCACTTTGTTGAATGCTAGATATTACTGTATTTCTACACGATTTTTCTTTCTGTATCCTTTTTAGCTTTGTTTTGGGACATAGTTAAAAATCACTTTGAAATAGTTTATTACTTTCAGGTCTTGATTTTAAGATTTATTATTTGAACAAAGGTGAGTTTGGGTAATTACTTCCCACCCCACTGAGGCAAGACTATTCTGAGTACTCTATCCAATGCCCCTTGAATATGTGGTTTCATTCTGGCTGTTGGAAACAGGTATTCTTAACCCTGTGTGAGTGAGCACTGTATATTATTCCCTTTAATTCTCTTGGGTGATTTTTTTTTTTTTTGCAGTTTTTGGCCAGGGGCTGGGTTTGATCCCGCCACCTCTGGCATATGGGGCCAGCGCCCTACTCCTTTGAGCCACAGGCACTGCCTTCTTGGGTGATTCTTTACCTAGCCTTAGGTAGTTTCCTTACTCTTCTGTGCTAATCTCTGCTGGAATTCTTTTCTTTCTTTCTGTTTTTTTGTTGGAGACAGAGTGTTATTATGTTGCCCTCTGTAGAGTGCTCTGGCGGCACAACTAACAGCAGCCTCAAACTCTTGGGCTTAAGCAATTCACTCAGCCTCCCAAGAAGCTGAGACTATAGGTGCCTGCCACAGTGCCCAGCTATTTTTTTGATTGTAGTTGTTGTTGTTGTTTTAGCTGGCCTGGGCGAGATTTTAACCCGCCAGCTCTGGTATATGTGGCTGGCACCCTAGCCACTAAGCTATAGGCGCCGAGCCTCTGCTGGAATTCTTGAGGGAGATCTTCTATACAGCTCTCTCCTGAGGTAGTCTTAAGCCATCGGGCTTAAGCGATTTTCTTGCCTCAGCCTCCCAAGTAGCTGGGACTACAGGCACCTGTCACAACACCTGGCTATTTTTTGGCCTCTGAATTCCAACCACTTTGATCTTGCTATAATCGCAGTTCTGTTTCCTCAGTTCAGAGATTCTACTAATTCCTCCTGAGTTTTCCTCCTTATGTCATGTCTTAGAAACTTTAAAGGCCTTAAGCTAAGGTAGTCATAGGACTCACCTTCTTTCTCATTTGTCAGAATCATTGTCCTTCAGTGCTTGATAGCTAGTAGCTAGTGAATCCTTCTTTCATGTACTTTGGTCATTTCAAGTCTGGAGAGTTAATCATCTTGGCTGGAAGTAAAGGTGCTAGGATTGAAAGCCTAATGCAGGCTTGATTACAGTTTAGAAAAGTATAGTGTCCCCCTTTATCCTCAGGGGGTGTGCTGCAAGACTCCAATGGATGCTTGAAACCTTGGATAGTACCTAAGCCTTGTAATGAACGGCAGGCAACCTTTTCATTTAGAGGAAGCAGTTTATGGCTTCTCTTTGGCAGTTGCATATCTGAATTGTCAGCATCACTACCTTGTGCTTTGGGGTCATTATTAAAAGAAATAAGGGCCTGGCGCGGCCGCTCACCACCTGCAATCCTAGCACTCTGGGAGGCCAAGGTGGGTGGATTGCCTGAGCTTATGAGTTCAGACCAGCCTGAGCCAGAACAAGACCCCGTCTCTAAAAATAATAGCTGGATGTAGCAGGCGCCTATTGTCCCAGCAGTCCCAGACTGCCACTTGGCAATCTGAGGCATGACAGTCATTTAAGCCCAATAGTTTGAGGTTGCTGTGAGCTTTGGCGTCATGGCACCCTACGGAGGGTGACAAAGTGAGACTATATCTAAAAAAAAAAAAGAAAAAGAAATAAGGGTTACTTAAACATAAGCACTGCCTATCTGATAGCCATAAGTGAGTCTATCGGATAAACAAGATGGCTACTAAGTGACTAATGGGACAGGTAGTATGTATAGTGTGAATATATTTCATAAAAGAATCATTCATATGCCAGGCAGGACTGTGCACAATTTAAAAATTAACGAAGATGCTGGGTGCAGTGGTTCACGCCTGTAATCCTAGCACCCTGGGAGGCTGAGGTGGATCGATTGCTTGAGCTCATGAGTTCGAGACCAGTCTAAGCAAAAGTGAGACTTCATCTCCACTAAAAATAGAAAAAAAAAATTGAGGCAAGAGGATCGCTTGAGCCCAAGAGTTGGAGGTTGCTGTGAACTATGATGTCACAGCACTCTACCCAGGGTGACAGCTTGAGACTCTGTCTCAAAAAAAAAAAAAAAAAATTACCAAAGTGTTTACTTTGGGGATTTTTTATTTAATATTTTTGGACAGCAGTTAACTAAAACTGCGGAAAGCCAAACTAGGGAACTATTGTGTTTGAATTTGGCTTTTTGGCTTAATGTATGCCAGTATGTTTAGATTTTAAGGGAAAGTTACACAATATTATACAGAATGAGTCAAATACTGGGTACACATTGTGCATCTGTTATAAAGTACCTTCACACCTAATCTAAATAAAATCAGAATACTATATAATACTACTGTATTTAAACCTGCAGGAATTTTCGTCCTTTTTCCAGATTTTCTCTAACATATTTCAAGATTTTCATCTTGTGACTAAAGTAATATTTTTGTCTACTGTTATTAAGGTACCCAAACATTTTAAATTCTTTTTTCATATTACGTGATAAGGATACTTTGCTTAAGATTATCATCCTATGAATTCTATACTTTCAGTGTTATATCTTTTTTTATAGTTCTGCAAGCATAGCTTTTTTGCTGTTTATTTGAAAACCAAATAAAAGGGAGAAAAAGACAATCGTTGTGAATATGGTTTCGTCTTTCAGAGATTAGGAGTGTGTGTTTTGTGGCATGCAAAAGCCCATCACCTGTAAAACATGTGGTGCACTATGACATACAGGTTTGACACCTTGAAATAAATTTCAAAGAAAACCTAAACTTTGAACTGCCTATAGCAGGGGTTCTCAACCTGTGGGTCGCAATCCACAGGAACTGTATTAAAGGGTTGTGGCATTAGGAAGGTTGAGAACCACTGGCCTATGAGATGAATTTTTCATCCTCATTCCCAGGTGGCCTCTATGTGTATGTGTAATTTCCATAGACAGAGGTGGGTTATCTAATAAAGTTTCAGAAAATATAAAAATTAACACCCATATTAATGAGTTCTGCTTTTGGGGAGGAAAAGATGAAAAAAGTGAAGAATATTTTGGCATTGACCCTTTTAAGAAATTACTGATTTGCTTATAGAATAAGTAATAGCTCTACATGAATTCTTAATAAAAATCTTATATGATTACAAGTTATCAAGTCAGTTATAGAAATAAGAAAACTTTACTTATTGCCATTAAAGTGTTTTTTCCAGAAACTTACAGCTGTAACAAAATATGTTTATGATGTGCTCCAGGAATCCTTGCTGTAAAAATTAAAAAAAAAATACTGCTTTTAGATCTTTGTCTGAAGCTATGTCGGTGGAAAAAATTGCTGCAATCAAAGCCAAAATTATGGCTAAGAAAAGATCTACTATCAAGACTGATCTAGATGATGATATAACTGCCCTTAAACAGAGGAGTTTTGTCGATGCTGAGGTAGATGTGACCCGAGATATTGTTAGCAGAGAGAGAGTATGGAGGACACGAACAACTATCTTACAGAGCACAGGAAAGGTAATTGAAACTTTCTGTTTATTCATTAGAGCATGTGTGTTTCCATCCTTAAATATGGTTGTTGGTCACCAAAGAAGATGATGAAAATGTTGGAATCAAAACGTAAGCCCTTCACATACCATTTGTAAATCAAGGAATGGGCCAGTTTTCTTGTTGAGTCAGCTTTTTGCTTAACTTAATGAACAAGAAATATTGATGGAAAGTTCTCTGGTTATTAATTTTTTTCTCCAATAAAGTAGAAAAGTTGTAGAGATCAGTTAACTTTTTTTTTTTTTTTTTGTGAAATAAGAGTCTCAAGCTGTCGCCCTGGGTAAAGTGCTATGGCGTCATAGCTCACAGCAGCTTCCAACTTTTGGGCTCAAGTGATCCTCTTGCCTCAGTTTTTCTATTTTTAGTAGAGATGGGGTTTCACTCTTGCTGAGGCTGGTCTTTAACCTGTTAGCTCAAGCAATCCACCTGCCTCAGCCTCCCAGAATGCTGTGATTTCAGGCGTGAACCATCCCGGCCCAGTTAACATTTGTTGAGTGTGTTTTGTAAATTCTCTTGTGTGGGTATAGCAAATAATTTTATTATTAGTTCCTTATTCATGGAGATAGTTTGGTTTTCGTTTTGCTCCAATATTGTAGGATTTTCTTTTCTTTCCATTCTTTTCTTCCCTTCCTCCTCCCTTTCTCCTTTTCTCCTTTTCACTTTTCCAAATAGTGCATTAAAAACATTGTTATGCATATCCTTGTGCATTTATATGTGTGTATGGCCAAAGGATTAATTCTCAGAAATGAATTGGTGGTCTAAGGAGATGTACACTTTAAATTTAAAAAAATAAAAATTTGAAAGATACTGATATTCATTATTTTAATGGATCTCTAGAAAGGATGCATTGATTCTGTTTCAACACTGTTTCAGGCAGATAGGTTTTAGTTGTGGAATTTGGGGATTTTATCTTTATTGTGCTGTTCTAGTAGGAATAAAACTACTAGAAAAGAGCATATAAACAAAAGAATTACTTCTTTTTCTTTTGTACTTTGATTTGTTTTATAAAATACTTGAGGTTGAGATTGGATCATTCTCCAGAACTTAGAGAAATCTGAGGATATGAATAAGCTTCTATTTTTATTTAAAATAAAATGGTCTACTGGTACTAGTTTTTGTTGCCTAATATGCCTAATACTTGAATGATATTGTGCCTTAGGTTCATTCATCAATGTTCATTATAATTACTAACAAATCTGAAACTGCTACTCCAGGAGTAAAATAGTGATATACACATACTCCACCTTGCTTTCAGACCAAATATTACATTTTCTTTTTTTTTTATTTTATTAGATCTTAACTGTGTATATTACTGCATTTATGGGGTACAATGTGCTGATTTTATGTGCAATTTGGAATGTTTACATCAAACTAGTTAACACATCATTCACCTCACTTATTTAATTGTTGTGTTTAGACATTTATACTCTACTATTAATATATTTGACGTGTACACTTGCAATATGCACAATAAGTGAGGTCGCACTGATTACCCTCCCACCATCTGTTCCCGTTTTTTTCTCCTCCCCCTCCTCTTCTCTTCTTCTTTCTGGGCTATAATTGTGTTTTATCTTTTGTCTGAAAGTGTGAGTACTTATATATTTTCAGATAACTGAGATGGATAATTTTCTTTGGGCTCTAGGTGGCAGGATTGTACCATCATTTCAAAACTTAGTGTTAGAGTTTAGTTTAATGTTGTATCTTTTTAAAGATAAGTTAATAATTAACAATTGTTTGTTAACTAGGTTTGCCTCTGCAAGTATTCAGATTTAAAAAAAAAACATGTTTTGAGATCGTCTCTTTATGTACTGTTTTTCCCCACTAAAAACTAAAATACTCTTGGATACTTAGAACCCTATAGGTTTTGGTCAGATCTTTATTGTTACCGGTTATTATGTCCTTCTTAATTTTTGAGTTTCAGCAATAGAAGATAGTTTTAAGATTCTATACGAGGCCAGGCGTGGTAGCTCTTGCCTGTAATTCTAGCACTCTGGGAGACCTAGGCAGGTGGTTTGCTTGAGCTGAGAAGCTTGAGACTGGCCTGAGGAAGAGCGAGACCCCATCTCTACTAAAAAGAGAAAACTAGCCAGGCATAGTGGATGATGCCTGTAGTTCCAGTTACATATGGGGCTGAGGCAAGAGTTTGGCTTGAGCCCAGGAGTTTGAGGTTGCTGTGAGCAATGATGCCATGGCACTCTCTCTAGGGCAACAGAGTGAGACTCTATCTCAAAAAATAAAAAAAAAAAAGATTCTATAAGAAATATAAATTTGTCCTTTTATGCAGTTATATTGCAAAGTTCCCCAAATCAATCTGATTTTATAATGACATTTAAAACACATTCTTTCAGGCTGGGTGTTACGGCTCATGTCTAGCACTTTAGGAGCCCTTGATGGGACAACCACTTGAGGCCAGGATTTCCACACCAGCCTTGGCAACATAGTAAGACTCTGTCTCAACAGAAAAAACATACAAAATTTATCTAGGCATGGTGGCATGCATATAGTCCTATTACTTGGGAGGCTAAGTCAGGAGGATTGCCAGAATCCAGGAGTGTGAGGCTGCCCTGAGCTGTGATCTGACCACTACACTCCAGCCTTAGGGTGATGGTTAGACCCTGTCTCAAAAACAAACAAACAAAAAACCCATGCTGTTAAACTTGTATAAATTATTATGTTTGTTGCTAAAATTTTTATGATGAAACCAGTAATAGGAAGATAATAATCACCTATAATTCAACCATAGCTGATAACAGTATTTTGATTAATGCTTCTAGAGTTTGTCTTACTACTTTATTATTTTTTAAATATTAAGATTTGCTTTTCAACAACTTTTATAATACAGCTAAGGTTTTATTTTATTTTCCACTGTGTTGACTTTTGCAGTGATGCTACATAATCAAAGTAAAACATCTGGTACAATAACATGAATCAAGGCAGTATCACCAAACTTTATTAGTAACCATCATAAATAATGTTCTTGATGAAGCTTTAAAATACATTAATTTTGTTTTATCTTTGTTAATGAAGGGGTTTACAACTTGACCCTTGAATATGTCTTTTTAATTTTTTGTATAATGAAATTGGAATGTGTAAAGCACTTGCGCATATCAAAATATGGTAATCTCTATGAATAGCACCTGTGGTTTGAGCTGCAGGGTAAATCACTGGCTTTTTCACAGAAAACAGTTTTTTATTTGAATTAGTATGTTATTCAGATTTGAGTATTTGGCAGATACTCTTTGAAAACGAGGGAGTAAATCTGTTCCTTCAATGAAAGCAACTGACAGTATTTTTTTGCCAGTGATAAGAAATGTGAACTTTCATGAGGAAATTGGAATTTTGAGAAGTTTCTTAATGCTAGCTACTATGACCATAACAGCTTCTAATTCTTAAAGAGTCTTCTGATGAGTCTTCTATAATATTAATAAATGTAATTTGTTGATATTGTGTAATTCACCGTGTTAATATTTGGAAGGTACACATAATCAGTGATTGATATTTAGATGGCCAGTGAATACTGTTATAAAATCATGTATGAGTAGATAATCCATTTAAAGTTCAGGAGAAACTGATGGATTTTAAAGTAACAGTATAGAAAGTATATGGATGTGGTTTCCACATTGCATTAACCTTTAAGAAATTGCTGTTTATAATGTTTTGATATGATGTGAAAGAAGACTGTCCATAATTATCTGTAAAGCTATTAGAATTTTACTTCCTTTTTCAATTGTTTGCATATAGATTTTTGGCAAAACAAGATAGTACAACAAATGTGGAATGTAGAAGCAGACATGAAAATAGCGCTTTTTTCTTTTAAGTCAGACATTAAGGAAATTTGCAGAAATTTAAAGGAGCATTAATTTCTTGTCACTACTTTTTGGGCATTTGGGGAAATATTTTTTGTGAAATACACTATGTTTGCATGGAATCTTCTTTTTCATTTTTAAAGGAATTTCATTTTTTTTCCAGTTTTTTTTTTTTTTGAGACAGAGCCTCAAGCTGTCCCCCTGGGTAGAATACTGTGGCATCACAGCTCACAGCAACCTCCAACTCCTGAGCTCAAGCGAGTCTCCTGCCTCAGCCTCCCAAGTAGCTGGGACCACAGGCGCCCTCCACAACACCCGGCTATTTTTTGGTTGCAGCCGTCTTTGTTGTTTTGGCGGGCTTGGGCTGGATTCAAACCTGCCACCTTAGGTATATGTGGCTGGTGCCTTAGCCACTTGAGCCACAGGCGCTGAGCCTTTTTTTCCAGTTTTAATCTTTTTTTTGAGACAGAGTCTTAACTCTCTTACTCTGTTGCCCTCAGTAGAGTGCCATGGCATCAGCCTAGCCCATAGCAACCTGAAACTCTTGGGCTCAAGGATCCTCTTGCCTAAGCCTTCTTCTGAGTAGCTGGGACTACAGGTGCCTGCTAAAACACCTGTCTAGTTTTTTCTCTTTTTTAGTAGACACAGGGTCTCCCTCTTGCTTAGCCTGGTCTTGAACTCTTGAACTCAAGCAGTCCTCCTGCCTCAGCCTCCCAGAGTGCTAGGATTACAAGTGTGAACCACTACACCTGGTCTAGTTTTAATCTTTAATGCCATAAATATTTTAACTTACACAAACTAATGTTCTTTAGGCTTCTCAGTAATTTCTGAAAGACCCGTATTTGCTGCTCTAAAGAATTACAGGAATTAAAAAAGGAGAAGAGCTAAATAGGTGACACAGACGTATATATTCACTAAGGTTATATTTCACTAATTTTGTAAACATTTATTTGTGTAATATTTATTACTTTTAACTTCTATAAACTTCTTTTGCCTTTGTGCTAAGCAATAACCGGTGATGCATCGATCCTAGCTTCACATAGGTTATATTTTTTAGCAAAAGACATTACAGTCAGAATGCAACTCCATCTTAAGTCAAAGAGCACCTATACTTTCCCACTTAGAAATCTTTGGAAGTGTACATTGACTTTTCTTTTATTGTAATTTACTTTATTAATAGTTAACAATCTAGGATGTTTGCAGCTATCATCAGTTTCAGTGCAATTTCAGGTGCAATTGAGAATTTAGGAATCTCTGGAGGTGTTAGCATAACTAACTTTGAAGTTAAAATACATGCATGTGTACTTTTGATAGCACATGTGAAGGGCTCTCTCTCAAATTGACGTCACTGATTTTGTTCTCAGCAAACTGACCTGGGCTGTTCAACGTGACTTTTGTTGTTCTGATGTTAGTACATGTTCTTTTACAATAATAAATTCATAACCATCAGCAAATATCAATTTAAAATACATGGCATCAGGGCCTTTGAGATCAGCCTGGGCAACACAGTGAGATCCCATTTTCAGAAGCTCTGTAGCCGCTGCAGCTGGATCCCCACATATTACCATATAGCTACCATATAGCTCCTACTTTTAGGACCACCTCCTCAATCTCTAGCTGGCTGCTTCCATGGGTTTTGGGGTAGCTGGCAGCCAGAATAATTACTAATTCTTCTGCAGTGTAGTACTCACAGTATCCCAAAACTTTCAATATCTCATGCCTAATTTCTGGCATCTAAAACTAGCACTGGAGTTTATTATACAGAGGAGGATGTATTAAATAGTAGTTGATTTCTTTCTGAATTAGGAAGCCTGTTTGACAGGTCTGTTACATTTTATTTAAACGTTAGCTTGTTTCCTTTTCAGAATATGAATACATTTGTAGACAATTATGCAATTTAAAATGGAAATAATAAAATGAATAATACTGGTTTTATAGTAGTTTCTGGGTCATTTTCACAGTAGTAGTTGGTTTTTACTTAATGTCTATATAATGATACATCGTTATGATGTAGGAAAGAACCTACAGGAAGAAAACTTAGTTATTGTTTATTAAGTAAAGTTACTATTTTTGTGTATTTTTAAGTAATGTTACTATTTTTGTGTATTTAATTTTAAGTGAGCTTAATTAAAACCATTTATGTTTTAGAATTTTTCCAAGAATATATTTGCAATTCTTCAATCTGTAAAAGCCAGAGAAGAAGGACGTGCACCTGAACAGCGACCGGCCCCAAATGCAGCACCTGTGGTGAGGAATCTTTTACTGCTGTATGGTAATTTTAATGACAGTGCCACGTATATTTCATTGTTGTAATTTTGAACACATCACAGTGTTTTAAAATGAATACATTCTAAATCTTACGCTGATTTGGTATGACTGAAAGATGTGAAAACCCTTCCCAGCATTAAAAGTTACTTACTTCAGTGGTAATTCTTAACTGGAGTTAAGAGTCTGAAAGGGAAAAAGCCCTCTGAGTAAGTAAACTATAGCTGGCCTACTCAGTGTTGTGTGGGAGAATCACTAACCATTGTTAAAACATATAAATCCCCATTACTTTCCAGCTCAGGGGTCTTTTTGCTATCATTGCTATTTGTGACATCTTTCATGTCACTGTACCTTAGTTTCAGCTGCTCTGAGGGTTGACTGCCATACTCTTTGAGATGCCACTTAAGACACTCTGAGAATGTACCCTTCAATTTTATAGAAAGTACTTGAAGCTGCTTTCTTATGACTCAAAAAAGAGGGAAAAATAAAAAATACATGTTTCTGTTTTATGTAGAGTTTTAAAAAGTATCTTGAAATGTTGTAGAGTGTTAATACATCTTTGCAATATGTAGTAATTTTTTTTTTTTTTTTTTGGAGTTTTCGGTGACGGCTGGATTTGAACCTGCCATCTCTGGCATATGGGGCTGGTGCCCTACTCCTTTGAGCCACAGGTGCTACCCTAAGATGTAGTAGTTTTATTTGTTCATGAAATCATTGGTATTTAACTTTCAGAGGTAGTAGATTTTTGCTGATAAATAGATAAATACTTCTGGTGACTCTCCAGTGACTCTCCATTTGTTAGGTGATATGCTAGGGATCTTGAGATATAGTGAAAAAGATTCACAGTCTCTGTTCTCTTTGAGCATAGTCTAATAAGGTAGACTTACTAGATGTTTAAAAAAAATGTTAGTGGGGTAAGTACAGTGATGGTAAAGCACAGGGTGCTGAATTGGTGACATTTGGACTAGCAGTTGGTGGAAAATAACGTGAAACCTTAAAACAATTGAGCCATCATCATTGTGACTGTAAATATATTTTGTGTGTTTATATAATCATTACATTACTTGAAAATTTTAATATTTGGCTCTTGATTATAGAGATGTGTACCAGTGACCGTCTTGATAAGTATCTTCTATTTGGAATAATAGTTGAGATGGAATCCTGCTAGGGTGGCTCTTGTAGCTCAGTGGGTAGGGCGCTGGCCACATACACTGAAGCTGGCAGGTTTGAACCTGGCCCAGGTCAGCTAGAACAACAATGACAACTGCAACAATAATAAAAAAATAGCTGGGTTTTGTGGTGGGTGCCTCTAGTCCCAGTTACTTGGGAGACTGAGCCAAGAAAATTACTTAAGCCCAAGAGTTTGAGGTTGCTGTGAGCTGTGATGCCACGGCATTCTAGCCAGGGCAACAGCTTGAGACTGTCTCAAAAAAAAAAAAAAAAGAAGAAGAAAAGTATTTCATTCTTCATGAATTTTCTGAGCAGCTTTGGGAATAGTCTTTAAATTTGCACTTTTAGTTTATTACAGACTATAAGTTTTGGGTAAAATATTTCTTAATTAAATAATGCATTATTAGATTGACAACTTTTTCTGAGTACTGTATTTAAAATGTAACACCTATTACTTCTATTTTACCCTGTACTTTTATCATGGGTTTATTTTCATAGTTTTCATGTTCATTTAAATTGAGGGTTAATAGTCTGGTGGTAATTCAATTAAAAGGCCTTAATATGTAGCCCAATAAACTTTGAATTAGAAGGCTTTTTTTCTTTTTTGCTTAAAAAATCGTAAGTGGGGGAATATTTCATAAAGATCCTTATGTAACCAGATAGAATTATTAAACATACCTATTTTATTTTTCCTGAGAGTTTTGCCCTTTGCTTTGGTGTTAATGCACTTAGGATCCTTTGCCTTTGTCCCTAATACAGATGCTAATTTTCTAGCAGTAAATAATATTGCAAAAGTAGCATCAAATGACTAGTGGTTTACTTCCAAGTTTTTGTCTTATTGGCTATACTAAGAAAATAATCTCAGAAAATAAATATTTATGAATATTACATAAATGTCATTTTCAAAAATTAACATGTAACTCTTATCTTTCTGTAGGATCCGACGTTGCGTACCAAACAGCCTATCCCAGCTGCCTATAACAGATATGACCAGGAAAGATTCAAAGGAAAAGAAGGCAAGATGCTTGATTTTTATCTTCATCTTAACTGAGTTGATGCTGAAATTGAAAGGCAGTATGGCCTAACGTTAAGAGCTGTGGTTGGCAAAGTAATGTCTGCGGGCGAGATCTGGCCCACTGCATGTATATGTAAATAAAGTTTTGTTGGAACACAGCCACACTCATTCATCTATGTAGTATCTGTGGGTGCTTTAGCTCTGTGACAGCAGTATTGAGTTGTTTCATTAGACACTCTATAGCTTACAGAACCTAAAGATACCATCTGACGCTTTATAGAAAAAAATGGCCAACTCTTGGCTAACAGCATGGATTCTACATTCAGATAGCTTATGTCACAGTTACCTTTTTTTTTTTTTTTTTTTTTGAGACAGAGCCTCAAGCTGTCTCCCTGGGTAGAGTGCTGTGGCATCACAGCTCATAGCAACCTCTAACTCCTGGGCTCAAGCGAGTCTCTTGCCTCAGCCTCCCAAGTAGCTGGGACCACAAGCACCCACCACAATGCCCAGCTATTTTTTGGTTGCTGCCCTCATTGTTGTTTGGCGGGCCCAGGCTGGATTGGAACCCACCACCTTAGGTGTATATGGCTGACGCCTTAGCCACTTGAGCCACAGGCGCTGAGCCGTCACGATTACTTTTAATGCAAATCTTAATGTTACTTTAACTGCATTTATCTCAGTTTTCTCATATGTATAACAGTACTAATAGTGTCTGTCTCTCAGGGTTATGTTAGGGATTGAACAGTTAATAAGTGTTGAGTCTCCAGAGTAGTGTCTGCTATATATAATGAGCTGTTTGATATTGTTAATACTAGTACTGTTTTTAAAGAATTTATTTTAAGGAGATTCTATGTATCAAATCATGTTCCCTAAATTAAAATGTATAAATTGGGAACTTGGGAAACATAGACCTGAGGCAATGATATAGTCTGATAGTCTGATATAGTTCTGATAGTCTGTCTGACGTTCTGGCAAAAGTGAACCATTCCCATACTAGTAAGTTATTAGTGAAGTGAGCCTAACATCAGTATAATTTCTTGGGATCTTTGTTCATGTTGATTTGATTCATGAAAATGTGAGATGGAAGCAACCAGAAGTTTAAAATTTATGATTTTTTTCCTAAATAATCTGAAGTCCATTTATGTTTCTTTAAAGGATAGGTTGCCTTGATGCAGTGAATTTTGTGTGCTGACTTCATTTACTAGATAAAGACACATGTTATTTACATGCCATAGAGAAATAGTGCATTATTTACTGCAGTGTTTTTCTTTTGGAATCAATTTATATAAAGTGGAGATTGGAAAATAATAGCCTAAAGACAATGTCTGACCCTCTGTGGGCCAAATTGGAACACCCCCAATTGAATGCATATGCTGTTTGTCCCGCTCTTGCACAACAACTACAGAATTCAGTAGTTGTGACAGATAATTGATTGCCCACAATTTGTAAAATATTTGCCATACAACTCTTTACAAAAGGGCGTATTGGAACTCTGCCTTGGAACTTCCATCATTATTTACAACATTGCTTTCTATAAAATATATTACATATGCCTCATTGTAACTTTGAAACACAACTTTTTATAACTTAGGGACTTCTCATGGTATTAGGTACTTTTAGTGGTATTATCACTGGGTTTTAATAGTAAGTAATTTGGAAGGTATAAAGTATTTTATTCAGTCTTAATTTTTGAACATAATTGTGTACTGTACATAGTCTTAATCACTACCCACACAATTGGCTTATTGGTGTATATGGAATGTATTTTGAGGTTGATATCCTTCTTAAAATTACTGTCTTTACAAGTATGTAATTCAACTTTATATGTAGTAGCTTTAAGGGTTTGTTATACTGTTGAACTGTCAGATATAATGCAGATTATTGTTTTATATTTGTTATAGATCATAAAATACATGATATATAAAATCTAACAGTAAATCCCTTTTCTTTATAGAAACGGAGGGCTTCAAAATTGACACTATGGGCACCTACCATGGTATGACACTGAAATCTGTAACGGTAAGTTATTTTGACTGCAGATGTTCTTTTGTTCCAGGCATTTTGTGTGAGTAGCAGATGTTGAAGAAAACCGTTGTTCTCTAGTGTTTCCTATTTTAGGCGTTTATCTTTAATGACCCATTGTGCCAATTGATCTGTGTGGTATATTGTTTGATTCGTGGGTATCCTGTTTGTTTTAATTATTTTCTTTCCAAACTGAGTTGAGTATGTGCAAAAGCTGTTTTGATTAACTTGGAAGTAGGATGGTGCTACCTGGTTAGATCATTTAAAGTCATTCATTGAGTTACAAGGTCTATTTGGAAGAGTTCTTTGTCATAGTATCTTGTATTCTTCAAAATGTAATACCTTATGGTCTTTAAAAAGGCAGATTACAGTGTTTGATGTATGGTGTACAAAGTATCAAATACTGGATGTCCATGAATATAAGCCTTTGGTTCACTTTTTTATTTTTTAACGACCTAAAATTGGTTATTTCTAGATGCTGTGCCCAAGTTACATTTAATACTTTTCACTTTCATTTAGGCAACATTAGGACTTGATGATATAGTGCAGGAATTTTGTTAACCTTATTTTGCATATTTATATTCTGGAATATAAAAGCTTCTTGTACTTTAAAAATACTATGTATATATGTTAATTAGAATATATACTTAAAACACTACTACTGAACTTTTGTCTTTATAGATTATCAGATCTTTATGAGCTTTATATGACATGGAATCATGATATCTTTGCTGTGATTTTGCAGAATTAAGATATATCCTTGTTTTTACAGGGAATTTACCATGCTTTACATACATTTCCAGAAGTAGGTAGCAAGTAAGAGTACAGAATCTGGTTTTAAAAGTTAGAATTTGCTTTTTTACACTTTAAAGTACAATTGGATTTCAGTTATCTTACTGATAACTTGTTTTAAAATGTCATTAGATTTGTTTTTGTATTATTAAAATTGTGTGAAGCTGGGTGTGATAGCACTTGGTGAGGCTGAGGCAGGATGCTTGCTTGAGCCCAGGAGTCAGAGCCTTCAGTGAGCTATGATCATGTCACTGCACCTGGACAATAAACATAGCTAGATTTCCAATATGTAGCTAAGTTGTTAGAGGTATAATAATATTACCATTAGCTCTCACTTTCTGGAGCATCTAAAATTTCAGTCTCTCAGTCAGGTTATATTCTTAAAAGTAGGAACTGCTACATTAGTAATGTCCCCCCCACCCTACCATTTTATAAAGCTTTTGTAAGTCCTTTTTATAAAGCTTCTTTCATTCTCATTTTGTTGTTAATTAATTTGATGTTTATCCTTTAATAGAAGTATTTTGGGAGTGCTACAGTAGCAGTGATGTCCTAGAGTTACGTCTAGAGCCCAGGCCTGCAGAAGATGGAGATCATTGTTTAATACTTTCTTCCTGGCTTGGGGCCTGTAGCTCAGTGAGTGGGGCGCTGGCCACATACACCAAGGCTGGTGGGTTTGAGCCTGGCCCAGACCTGCTAAACAACAATGATAACTGCAGCCAAAAAAGGCTAGGCATTGTGGTGGGTGCCTGTAGTCCCAGCTGCTTGGGAGGCTGAGGCAAGAGAATCACTTAAGCCCAAGAGTTTGAGGTGGTTGTGAGCTATGATGCCACCGAGGGTGACATAGTGAGAGTCTGTCTCAAGGGGAAAAAAAAATACTGTTCTTCTTTCTTCCTTAGGGTTCTTATTCCTTTTTTCTTTCCTCTCTTCCTCAAGCAAGTATTTGTTGAGTATATGTAGTGTACTAAGTGCCATGTGCTGGGCTGGGTGCTAGAATACCAAAGATGAGCAGTGCCAAATGTGTTCTTGAGGATTGACTTATGGTCTGGTTTCTACACATTAGTCAGTCATTCACATATAAAATTGGGACTGTGGGGGCTGTGCCTGTGGCTCAAAAGGGTAGGGTGCCGGTCCCATATGCTGGAGGTGGTGGGTTCAAACCCAGCCCCTGCAAAAAACAAAATTGGGACTGTGTCAGGTATGTAGAGGCTTGTTGTGGCACAAGAGCTTAAAATTGGGGGATTTGTTGGCATTAGACTACTTCATTGAGGAGGTAATACTTGAAGACAAACTTGAAGTTTGTGTAGGACTGTGGTCCCCATCTGCCGAGCCCCAGACGAATACTGCCTGAGCTCTGCCTCCTGAGAATGTAATGGAAACATTAGAATCTCATAGGAAGGAGAAACCTACTGGAAACTGTACGGAGAGATTTAGGTTGCATAATTCTTAGGAGAAACCTAATGCCTGATGATCTGAGGTGGAGCCGAGGCAGTGATGCTAATACTAGGGAGTGGCTGCAAATATAGATTATCATTAGCAAAGAGGTTTGACTTCATAAAGACTATAATAAATCAGTTGCTTGTAGACTCATGTCAAAACTCTTCTCAGTGAGTGGCAAGTGCCAGTGAAGCTGTATCTGGTGGCAGGTGAGTTGATGTACTTCAGTCATATAGCTGCATCTGGTGGCAGGTTTTAAGTCAGAATGAGCCAAGTGAATAAACTTTGTCCATGCTGGAAGAGGATCAACTGCTAAGGATTGCCACTGTTGGTGACCTTAAAAATGTGTTGAGACAACTTTACATCTGTGAAATGCCTACTTCTACTTCCAACATCCTATCTTTGTAAAGAAGGGTTTTCTGAAGTGACAACCACCAAAACAAGATTGCAGAGTAGAGTGGACATAAGCAACACACTTTGGGTGTCACTGTATCCCATCACCCCCAGATGGGACTGTCTAGGTTGCAGGAAAACAAGTTCAGGGCTCCCACTGATTCTCATTATGGTGAGTTGTATAGTTATCTCATTTTATATGTAATTTTACATATAAAATAATAGAAATAAAGTATACAATAAATATAATGTGCTTTAGTCATCCCCAAATCATCCCCCTTTCTCCCAGTCCATGGAAAAATTGTCTGCCATAAAATTGTTATCTGGTGCCAAAAAAGTTGGAGATTGCTGGTATAGGAGTTAAGTTGGTGAAGATGATAGGAAAGCACGTTTTAGGAACAGTGAACAAAAAAACTAAGCATAAAAGCCCTTTTATGGGAAGAACTTGGAAAGTATAAAGATTTGAAAGAAGACTGTATTGTGTATATTTGAGGGATGACTATAGGAAAGTTTCTCCCAAAAGTTAGAGCCTACTTGCTCATGAAATTGACAGTGTGTTTCTTTGAGCACACTGCGGAGTCATTCCTTGTGCCAATCTAAATGTGGCCCCAGATGGGCTAGATAGAGGTTCACAGTCTTGCATGGCAGCACCCACATCTACCTGAGCAGTGTATACCTTTTTTTAGCTAAGTTGTTTTCTCTAGATTGCCAGACTACTCACTATCCTGTTGTCCTTTATCTGGCCCTCTTTACTTATTTATGCTACCTTCATAGACATTATTGGCTTTTGAGTTTGAAATTCCTGATCTAAATAAAAGCAGCACCAGCTTGTTAAAGAGAAGTTAATCAGTTGGAAACACTAAAAATGTAAAGCTTTGAAGTTGTTCCTGGCTTTGAATTTGTGTCTGGCTTTGCCACACACATTCTGCTGCTGGTGAAGTTAAGAAGGTCATTTAACCTTTCTATCAGGAGTGTTTTTATTTTATGGTAAAGATAATACAACTTAACATCTTAGTATTGTTGGAGATTAAAGGAGTCACTATATGTAATATGCTTAGTACAGAGAGGACTTAGGAAATAATGGCACTTTTATTATGAACTAATGGTTTTATAAATCTCAGTTTAACATATGTATATGTCTAGGCAGCTAAAGCTTCAGGGAAGTGTTTAATATTACCTGTTAATAATATTCAATTTTCATTAAAAGTTATGAGGACTTACTTGTTTAAATACTAAGAGAATTCTTTTCCTCTCAAGTAATTAGGATATTTTTTACTGTAGCTGTATGTTTATCTTATATGCCTTAGAGAGAAAATAGCTACAACGAAGTTATGTAAAAACGATGATAACTGGTTTTCTCTTTTTCCATCTGTTAGGGCTTATATATAGAAAAAATTGTAATTTATTTAGATTTAAATTATTTACTTTAAATAGTATACTGTGTATAAAGTGTTTGGAATTTTAATATGTAGTCACAGAATTATAATATTTTATGATTTGTGATTTTTCTGCACTCTGCATTTAAACTGAAATATTATTCTGCTTGTTAGAATATTATATTGTGCTTGAAATAATTTTCAAAACTTGTTGGTTGCCTTGATACCTCAGGGAACAGGGTTTTCTATCCTAAGCCAGTATAAGTGGTATAAAGTTATACTCTCTAAACAAAACAAAACTTTTTTTTAAATATATAGCTCACAAAATATAAAAATTAAAATATCATCTATAATAACCCATTATATCTCTTAAGCTTTTGAAGTTTATATACTTACTGCCTGTTACATGAATATGTCACTATTAACATGATTTTTATATTAGATCTCCATTTTCATAGACTTTTCCAGGAAGCCATCACTAAATTGAATAGATAGTATTTTTTTCCTTTGTACTCATAAAATATTCTTTATCCTTTTTGGCCCTGTTATAGTAATTTTCTTCTTGATTTTTTTCAGCTCTTTTTTTGGGGGTGGATAATGTTCTGGTTGTAGATTTGGACTGTGTCTTCTACAAGAGAGATATGAGAGAGAACTTTCTGTTATGATGTATTGGCCTGTTGTAGTATATTAAGCATCAGTTTTCTCAATTGAAAAAGGGTACAGCTTACTTGGGGATTTTTTTTTTTTTTTGAGGTTTAGATGTATATATTTTTTAGCATTGTGTTTTTTGATTATAGCATGTAATTATTTTTTGCAGAAATGTTTTTATATTAAACATAAAATATTTCATATATCTTTTATAATGAATAATGTAGAGAATAGTCTTTATTTCTGGTTGGCTGGTATTTAGAGTTATACTTATTTAGATGGGTGGGTACTAATTTCATTTCACTTACACCTTATTTGTGGTAAGAGGTATTGGAATGTGATTCAACTATAATA